GGGGAGAGGAGGGGAGGGGAGGGGGAGGGGGAGGGAGAGGGAGAGGAGGGGAGGGGGAGGGGGAGGGAGAGGGAGAGGAAGGAAGGGAGTTTAGGGATGTTGGGGTGGCTGTAATTTGTAAGATAGTATAATGGAGAAGAGAAAGTGCAGAGAAAGAAAGTGTGTTTAGGGAATCTTCTGGAAGCTCCAGTCTTTTCTGAGCTCAGATCTTTGCATGAGTGCAAGAACTATCTCCTTAAAGCTGAAGAAGTAAGCAGTGGCAGGCAGCAGCCGGGCAATTCCCTAGAGCTGCAAGTACACAGTGTTCCAGCAGCCAGAGCAAAGAGACTCATATTGTGCAGAACATTGAAAAGCATCTTCAGGAAAGTCACACTGTAATAGTTGAACTAAATTAATCCAAGTTGGAAGGGTCCTCGGGCTGGCCCTGACAATGCCTCAAACCCCACAAAACCTATAAAGCCATTCACAACAAATTCAACTCTTTCAACAACACAACCCAACTCCTCTTCAGCAACACAACAGTAGCTAACAGTTAACCACATAAAATTAGAGGTGTCTATCATCCAGGAGCTGGAGACATGGCTCAGCTGGTAAAATGCTTGCTGCATGCGCATAGGACATGGGTTCAATTCCCAGCACCTATGTTTGTGTTTGTTTGTTTTAAAACCAAACATGGCAATGTGCTCTTACTTATTTATGTAATTATTTTATGTGCAATTTTTTGTGTTTGGCTTGTATGTATGTATGTCTGTGTGACAGAGTTGGATCCACTGGAACTTGTGTTACACTACAGATAATTGTGGGCTGTCATGTGGGTGCTGGGAATTGAACCCAGGTCCTCTGGAAGAGCAGCTAATGCTCTTTAGCTGCTGATCCATCTCTCTAGCTCCGGCAATGAACTCTTACAATCCCAGCACTGGAGAGGTGGACAGGGAGATCCAGTCAGTGTAGTGGGATTTGTGAGCTTAGGTTTAAGGAGAGACTCTGTCTCAGAGAGTAAAGTGGAAGACAGCTGAAGGAGACATGCTACTCAACCTCTGGCCTCTCCGTGTGCATGCATGCACCTTTATACATACACACCCCACCTGCACATAAACATGAACATGTACATACAAATACACACATAAACACATGCAATAGCCAATAGACATGCCAAGCATTTAATGATACAAAATAAATATGATTCACAGATGTCAAAATAATAAATATGG